TCCACTGCAGCTACAGCTTTTGCCTTCCAGGGTCAGTACTTGGTTATGTTGTAGTTTTGTCTTTTTTTTCCCTCCTGGAGCTCTTGTGCTGTTATTTAGCTGCTTGGCAGGTAATCCCTGTATCTTGCTATGTTTGTCTTGCTGCTGTTAAAAATAGAAAGAATTATTTCAAAAAATAGTCGGTAACTCTTACTACGTCTTACTCCAAAACCTCTTGCAGATGGCTGCATGACCCTGTTGTATGTGAGGTGACCACTCACAAGCTGTCTCTGCAAATCTACACTACATATGAAAACAGGTCTGAAACTGCTTTCACTGCCTTAAAGAGCTTTTTCTTGAGGCAGACATTGGTCCATCTAGCCTCTTACTGCCTGTTCTCGGAGGCAGCCTCCAGTCAAGATCACAGGCAGGGACTTTTCTCGGCCCTGATACTTTTTTATTCTGAAGATAGAAAGGAATAAGGAGCTCGATTGCATGCAAAGCATGTGTTCTGCCACTATGCTATGAGCTCTGCAAAGCACCTGCCTATGAACTTTGGGAAATGTAGCTCTATATGCATTATTATTATTATTATTATTATTATTATTATTATTATTATTATTATTAATTAGTTTTGTCACACAGTCAGCCAGCTATTTAGACTGGATTTGGCATTTTTATCTGCATTTCTCAAAGACCTGGAATTATTATTATCCAATAGATAGAACAGAGCCACAATTCCCAGGTCCCTTGGTCGAGAGTAATCATGATAGCTAAACAGATTCGGGACTGGTTTACATATGCAGAGTAGACTCAGGCCTGTACCGGCTCCAACTGTAATTCCATGAGATCTTGGCCTGTCTCTGAAGCCTCCTGACGTGGTGCTTTTGGGGACAGAGGACCAGACAATTCCTTCTCTGGCTTTGGCTCCTCGGAGTCTTGTGATAGTTTCTCCCATTCTTGCTGATTCAGTGCAGCTTCAGAAGAAATGCTGCCAATTATTGCTCCCTCAGAACTCGGTTTCCCCTGAGGCACCTTGAGACGGCGAGAGTCTTCCTGATCTTCAGAGGACCAGAAACTCTGGGTCTTGGAAATCTCCCCCTTTAGGCTTGGGGATTCTGGTCCTTTCAGATCAACTATTTCTTCCTCCAACATCACCTGGGCTTTAGGAGCTGTGTGAGAGCAGCAACAGGTACGAGCTTTCCTACTGTGATGGACTTGAAGGTGTAACTCCATAAGCTCAGGAGCTGAGGTGGCAAAGGGGCAAAACTGGCAACGGTGGAGGGCTCTTCCTGCCAGGGCTGGACGTAGAGAAAGATCCAATGGCTGGAAATCAGCCTTCCCGTTTAGCAGTGACTTGCGACGGGATTGGCGGGACCGAGCTGCCCCCATGCCACCTAGAGGAAGGAAGGACCCATGACTCTTGGTGAGTGGCGTAGGGGGAAAGGCAGGGACTGCAGTAGGGGCCAGGGGCATGTGGCACTGCTCCATTGTTGCTACAGCTGCTGCAGCAGCTGCAGCAGCATTCTTTTGCTCCCGGTGGTGGCGCTGCAGGTGATATTTGAGCGAGCCAGACTGAGTGCCAGCATAGTCACAGTGAGGGCACTTGTATGGGCGCTCACCTATAGGGAAAAAAAGGGGAGAAATTAATTGGTGCAGCAATGATTATTTTTCTTTGGTGTGATTTTCCCTGGTTGGTTGCAACATATGACAAGAGACTCCATTTAGGTGTCTGACTGATTCAGTTTTCCCAATCCATGAAACAGAATAAAAATATCACATTTTTGACCATGAACAAAATCAGCTTTCTGTATTACAGCTTTCAGAGAGGGAATATCTTCTCTGTAATATTTTAGGAAGAGGTCTTGCCATAAACCCTCTCTGTGCAATTAATGAGCAAAGGAAAGAAAAACAATCCATAATATGATGTGTGTATATGTATGTTTGTATGTATGTATAGGTGTTAATAGAATAGAATATAATTCTTTATTGGCCAAGTGTGATTGGACACACAAGGAATTTGTTTTGGTGCATATGCTCTCATATGATGTTGTGTGTGTGTGTCTGTTATTCAAAGTAGAGCATCGTACTTGGGAATTGTCTTTTCTCTTTATAAAGTCTGTGAGGTAGGAAAGGGGGAGCATGAAATACTGCCTTAAAAGTATCTAAACAGATTAAGAGAGACCCCGACATAACACAAGTGAGGACTGCAGAAAGACCTAAACAATAATATTTTAATAGTATAGAATATTTTAATTAGCCAATATTTCAGTTGGCTAATCCATATTGACTTGATTTGGGTGATGCTCAGTGTGAAGAGGCCCATGAACAAGGCAGCTTAACTTGCTGTCAGCATTTTTCATTCACTTGCCACTGCCTCTGGGCCCTGCAAATACAAATTGAGAAGGAAAGTACTTAAAAAACACTGCAAGAGAATGCAAATAAACTTGCAACAACTGTGAAGAATCTCAGAGCAGGAACTCAGCAATTCCAGTTCTTGAAAACAGCTCTGGTTATGTACCATGCTAATGGAAGGAAGGGTGTNAGCCTTATAGAGGCTTATAAAGTGCTGCTGGGGGCTGGGGAAATGACCCGTTTTTTTCTCATTTCCCCAGCCCCAGGAGCTCTCTGAAAGCCTCCATAAGGGTTTGCATGGCCATTTTGGTGAAGGGGGCGGGGCTTCAGGAGGCAAATAATGCTGTATTCGATGTATAAGACGCACCCAGATTTTCAGCCTCTTTTTTGAGGGAAAAAGGTGCGTCTTATAGTTCGAAAAATATGGTACTTCATTCCTTGCATTTGGGGAATTTGCTCTGGAAAGTAAGCTTGCCAAATTTTGTTCTTGTTTATGTGCAGCTATAAAAGCTTGATATGTTAAAACACTCATCATATGATTTGAAGAAAATAGAGTTATTTTGGTAATGGAAATGTTGAGACCGCTGGCATTTAACAAGGAAATTAGGGTATCATCAATTTCAAGCCTTAAATTATACAATCAAGCAAGCATATAGTATAGCTCCCTGGCCAGAATAATTCCAATGTGCTTCTCTAAATGTTTCTTCAAAATTATCCTGTATGTAAAAACCAGAGAGATAGCCTGTTTTTTTTCCTCCTTTTGACATTATAGTTTCCCTTAGTCTAAACCTGCAAGTTGAATTGTTAGACAAACTCCATTTTTAATAGACTGAATATAATAAAACTGTATTGTAATAAAGAACTCTCCAAATATATACCTAGGTTTTTAAACATTTCAGGCTATGGGTATAAGGATTAAGAGGAACAAACTAGTCCTAAGAAAGTGCAGCTGATTGCATCATACTTGTGTTGGAGGCCCCAAGGCGATTCCAAATGGAAAGTATTAGCCAGTGATATCACTGTTGCCCGAGGGATGCCCAATTGGGGACTTCTTTTATATCTCATTCAGTAGCTAGAGTAAAGGACGGGAGCTCACCCCACCCTAAGGCATTACTTGGGTCTCGAACATGAGTTTGCTGCTCATCAAGCCAACGTCCTAACCATGTAAGACACATGCTCCCAGTGTAGTTGGGATGCATAATTGACTTGTCCTGTTAAAGAGTTGGCATTAAAATGGAATTCCGGACATTCTGCAAAGGACAAACAGGTAGATGTTATTATGGCCTGCCTAAAAAGAGAGCTGCCAAATGGTAGAATTCCTCAAGATCATAAATCATGTTTAGTTCCTTGGCTTATGGAACATGTTGACTGAATTTATAAACTGCATCAAGCCATTATGTAATTGTGAAGTTTTGTCTCAAAATGGTATCTGAACGTGGCCATTGTTATTTTTAAGTCAGAGGGGTAAAATTAGATACCACAGGGATGTATGTAGTTCTCTTGGGTGTCAATCACTGAATTCCATTCCCGAACTTCTGGTTTGTGTGTTGGGCTGTTTTTCGCCATCCGGAGGCTTCCGGGAAGTCTCTGGAGGGTGAAAAATGGCCGAAAATCAAGGCCAAAAATCAGCTAGCCAGCACGCGCATGCACACTGGATCTGACAGAACAATGCCTTGCATGCCCTCAGAAATGGCTCCGTGTGCCACCTGTGGCACGCGTGCCATAGGTTCACTATCATGGCCTTAAGGATTACCCAAGCTGATTGTGTACAGCCCGTTTCACATTGAAATGACATTCCCAAACCAGTTTTATGGATTCTTTCAGAGGAATGTTTAATCCCAGTTTAGTTTTTTTCACGGCAGGACCCAAAATAGATAATAGACAGCCATAGACATCCTTGGTGCAGTTAAACATTGGGTTCAAAATGTACGTTATTTTCACAGGCTTTTTCAGGCTATTAATTTTTACATTGTGTTTAATATTAGTTAATTTGTATGTTTCTATTATACATTCAGTCATTTCTTAAAGAAATATGAATGTTCTAGTATTAGGTCAGGCACTGCAATATATTCTGAGATAACAGGATGTATATGTCTCTGTGTGTTTGCTTTTTATATAAATAATATCAACATTTCTGGTCCAACCTGAGTCTTGAAAGAACAGCATTTCTGTTAATTTTACATCCTGTCTTTTGTTCAGGTACTCAAGGAGTGTACAAAGTGTTCCCTCCTCCCACTTTTTCTCATCACAACCCTGTAAGGTAGGCTGGGCCAAGGGCAGACAAGACCTTGACATGTCCTCAGTCCTAGTCCAACCCTTTCACACAGTTCCTTTAACTCAAAATTCCAATCAAGCTACATTTAAGGTCTTTTGGTAGATTCCTCTTCCTCACCTGTTGCTGCCAAGTTCTCTCTATCCAAGGCAGGATTAATGTCAGCCATAGCTTCTTCACTGAATGCTGATTCAAGAGCAGCCATTTCTTTCCCAAAGCCAAGTACATGCCAAGCAATCTTAGGTGCACACTGGATATTCACTCCATAAGGTAAGGATGTTCAGTTGCCTGCTTGAGAAATTTCAGAAAAGGTTTAGGGGGGAATATTTAACTATAGGCACATTGATCTCATTCTTTCAACAAAATCCCATTATCTGACCATAATTAAATATTCCATAAGGTCATCAAAGCCAGATTGCCTTTTAAAACTTGGTTTTGTTATCATTTGCTTGTAAGGATAGAATTGAAAATACTTGCTACTGATTCTACAGCAATCAGACAACTATAGCAGTGTAGAAAAACTCCACTAATCTGCTCTAAATACAGTGTTTGTAACCAGAAAGAGAGAGAGAGTCCTTAGTGACAAAAGTGACTAGAATGCCATCTTGCTTGATCAAGGAGTTAGGGGGTCCCCATCCTCTATAATGGTATTAAATATCTGCTTCTAGTTTATTTATCTATAACAGATGCATCTCTTCTGCAGCTGTGCTGTCAGATCACATGGTTTGTTTAGCCACAGTTTACAGAATAGTTCACAGTTGCTTAAGTGTAGGCAATGTGCTAAATCACAAACAAGCAAAGCAGGCGAGGGATTAGCAAACTGGACAATACTGGTTGCAATTGAAACTGTTGGCTGATACTGGTTTTCCACCATAAATTTTAAATGGAAAAATGATGTAATTAATCACCTTTGTTTACTGGCACCTTATACAGCAGCAAAGTCTTATATATGGTTATATGAAATAAACTTTAAATAAATTTAAAAAGAGAGTCAGTTTGTGTAATGGTTAGGAATTAGGGAAGAGATGGGGAGACATGAGTTTGAGTCCTGCCTTCAGCACAAAGCCACCTGGGTGACTTTGAGTCAGTCACTTTCTATCAACCCTAGGAAAGAGGCAATGGCAAACCACTTCTGAAAATCATTGCCAAGAAAAATTGCAGGGACTCGTCCAAGCAGTTTCTGAGAATCGAACAAGACTGAACAGAGAAAAAAATGATAAGAGCTTGATATGAGGTATCATGGGGGTATAGAGTTTGCAGTCTTCCAAATGTTGCTAAACTACCATTCCCAGGATTGCTCTTTTCTGGGCATGATACCTGGGCCAATTTATATCCCACCTGTCATTCAAGAGCTCAGGGATGTTGCCTCCCACACCCACACTCACATTTTTCTTTATAATAATCCTGTGTAGTAAATTGGGATGAGAGATGACCCAGATTCACCCTGTGAATTTCCTTAGTTGAGGATGTACTTCAACCTAGATCTTGCAGTGCCACTTACCTTAGCCACTACACAGGCTCTGCTGTGAGTTGCAGTTGGGCTATAAATTACAGACTGCATTTTGAAGTTTTCGCTTTCTTTCTGTTACTGAAGTCATATTAATTTTAATTTCCCCTCTCTTAACACATTAGAATGAAAATGAACTTGAAAACAAAGAAGAGAATAGTCAAATAAATGTGCCCTTAACTGCAGCTCTAGACTTTCCCCGTTCTGCTTCAAGTTGGTCCAGTTAATTAACAATGAAGATATTGAAATGGTAAATAATTTCTACTTTTCAGGGTCAAACATCGATAAAAACAAGCAATTCCTTGATGAGATGGGTAGTTTTAAAATGTGATACATAAGAAAATAAAATAAATTTCTGATAGCACTTGATAGAATAAGCCATGAAGGCCTTGGAAAAAGATATTCAAATACCATGATCTATACTATACCTGCAGAGATCAAAATAGGGTAAGCAATGGTATTTTTCATGACACTCTATGGAAGCAAAAGTTAGGACTTAGAAACTAGATTGGGCCATGTCTACGGAGCTTCTCAATCATCCAGGTCATTGTTGTCTCTAAGGTGCTTTTTAAAGAGACAACTATACTTTCCTTGAAGACATTCCGCTTCTCATTCAAGAGAACTGAAGAAACTTCTTGGATGACAAGCGAAAGTATTCAAGAAAAAACAAAGGAAATCCAATTGTCTCTTGAAAAAGCTCCTTTGGGACAAATTGGAGAATGAACACTGTTGTTGGAGAAAACTCCTCAGAGTACTGTGGACAGAAAAAAAAAACCTCAACAAATGTATCAAACAAATCAATCCAAAATTCTTACTTGGGGCATGAATAACCAGTCTCAGATCATCAGACTTTGGATAGACTAAGTGAAGAGCTAGCTATCTGGAGAAGGGTCTAATGGTAGGAAAAGTAGAAGGAAAAAGAATGATCCAACAGCTAAGTGGATGGACTAAGTTACAGCAGAAATGGATGCCATATTGGAAGACCTGAAGGATCAAGTAAGGGATAGATCATAGATCATCATGGAGAAAACCCAACACTGACTTGATGTGATTCCTTTTCTAGAGAGTGGGTCAACTTTGCAAGACAGAAGTCCTTAGCAGATGAATAACATAATGTATCTTTTAACATTTGTTTTGCTGCCTTGCTGATACCATAATATAAACCATTCTTAAATTTGAAATGTTTGAATTTAAATGTTTGAATAAATATTTAAATGTGTAAATATTTAATATTATCTACTATCCTTTTCTACAAATAGAGGGAAAATATGAGTTGGGAACAGAAGTGTCTCCCTAGTTTTACCTTAGTATTATTTGAGAAATAATTATATAAGCTTCTAGAATAATCTGAGGGGGAAGAGATGCTTCATTAATGTAACCATAAGAAAATAGTCTTTTATCAAGACTATGTTAAAATAAGTTTTAAATAAAGTTAAAGGCACACCATACTTAAGAGATAGAACCCAAAGGTCTTCAACAAAAGCAAGCCAAACATATTTCTAATTATTCTAAAGTTAGTTTTATCCTTTGTAACTACCTGCCATTATAATCATATCAATCTTTTAAAAGTAATGGATGTTCGTTTATAATTTACACGTGTTACTACTATTTGCGAAATCTTGTGCTGAGGTTTTGCATTTTGTTCTTCGTCGTTTTGCATTTTCAGTTCCACCTTAAGAATGTTTCTTGTCAGCAGCCTTGGTGCGACTGGGAAGTTGATATAAAAATATTTAATAATAATGGATAAGCCACCTTTACATGTATTAAACATTTACATGTAAGTTCGAGAAAACGCCCGCCAACTATTTTTGGACTAATTTGTGCTAAGTTCTTTTGGTCTCTGGTTCATTCTAAAACTCGATACTGTAGGCTGTATTGGATCAGAAGCGGAAAAGAAGTAATAAGGACCCCTCCGCCTCCTTAAATGTGCCCCTGCCTTTTCCGGCGCTTGCCAGCCCAAGACTGGTAGCGGCGCGGCAATTTTTGAGACTAAGAATAATCCCACGCTCAAATCTAAGAACCTCTTGCGCGCTGGATCCGAGTAGTTGTTTCATCTTTATCCTGCAGAAATTCTGTCGTTCCCACCACAAAATCCAAAATGCAAGCTAAGATATATCAGGATCCAGCCAAAAAACATTTCCCTAAGCTTACCTAATTCTCCCGGGATCTTGGCTCCCGAGTTCTCCTCCGGCCACGTGAAGTATCCTAATTTCACCTAGAAACCAAAAAAGGCGTTAAGACCACCCCTTCCGTCTTACTCCACTTTCTTCAAACCGATTGTTTTCTGATAATTACATGTGATTGGATGCTTCCAGGGAAGATGCCCCAGTGCTTTGCGTTTGTTTCCTTTGCACCAAGTGCAACAGTCGTTGGCCAATTGGATCGCTACCGTCTATCCAGATCTTCCTGGCTTATATTGTTAAGGAAATTTAACTCATCGGGGATACAAAGGGCTTAGATAATACAAGCTTTGCTACTTACAAAAACTATACATCCTCCCCCAGGTATCGGATAAATGAACTCTCAGAACTTTCTGGGATTTATTGGTATTTATATAAATTTCTATCCCACGTTCATATTTATTAATGCTAACGTTACTGTGCTTACTTCTTATCTGTATCCCATTTATTCTGTCATTTTTGTCTTCAAGGCAAGAAAAAAAAGCAGATTGGCAGGGTAGCATAGGCTATGCTGTTTTGGAAAATAGCATCTCAGATCAGGTGGAATTTGACTCCTGTTACCTATTTCTGTCCCAGATGATAAACAATTAGTGTGTTATTAGTGAATTATTGGTATTGTCCTTACAACTTCTCCTGATGAAATGAGCAGATAACAGCATTTCCTTGTTTCCTTGGGACATAGTTAACAGTAGCTAACCTAGTTGACTGAATTAGAGTTTCTTGAACAGTGATGGCTAACCTTTTCCAGACCGAGTGCCCAAAGTGCCCCCTGTGCATGCACATGTGACCCCCCACATGCCTTCCTGCATGCATGCACAACTGCCACATACGCCCCATCCCCACGCATGTGCATGCCCCTCCCATACATGCATGCCCTACCCCCAAGCAGGGGCACTTGACCCCCCATGGACCCCCACACATGGACCCCCCACATCCCCGCATGCATGTCAGAGACCTGAAGGCCAGCTGGCCAGTGGGAGACACATGCGCATGTGCGGAAGAGGTGAACTGGGGTGATGGCTCACGTGCCATCAGAGAGGGCACCGCATGCCACCTCTGGCACGTTTGCCATAGGTTCGTCATCACGGACCTATACTGCTTTTATGTCATTGCAAATCGACATATATCCCAACAATTTTCTAAGGAGCTCAGAGATACTATACCTCTGCCCACTTAAATTTTCGTTCTCTCAACAATGTGGAACAAAGTCTTAAAGCTTGCTGTGATCTAAAATAGAACAGAATAACAGAGTTGGAAGGCACCTTGGAAGTCTTCTAGTCCAGCCCTCTGGTTAGGCAGGAAACCCTAAACCCGTGATGGCTAACCTATGGCACATGTGCCAGAGGTGGCAAGCAGAGCCCTCTCTGTGGGCACGCATGCCAGCCAGCTGGTCTTCGGATGTGCCATAGCACTGGAGACCCAAAGACCACCTGGCAGATGCACATGTACGCGCTGGCCCCCTGGTCTTTGGTTTTCTGGCATGCACATGTGCACTGGCCAGCTGATCTTCATGCGCGCTGGAACGCCAGAAACTTGCACCAGCAAACTGGTCTTTGGGTTTCTGGTGCTCCGGTGTGTATACACACACACACACACACACACATATTCCGGTTTAAGCAGTTGGTGCCGAAAAGGTTTGCCATCAGTGGTATAGGTAGTCATTGACTTACTACAGTTTTAGTTTACAACAACACTGAAATGACTGTTTTTCACACATACAATCTTAGCATCATCTCCAACAGAGGTGGTATTGGAGATTTTACAGTATCCCCTGCCACGCCCGCCAAGCCATGCCACACCCATCAAGCCATGCCCACAAAACCGGTAGTAAAAATTTTTGAATCACACCACTGATTTCCATGGTCATGTAATCAAAATTCACATCCTTGGCAACTGGTTCATAATTGTTATAAGGGTGGAACCCTAACATTTATAGCTTCACATTTGGTACCCAGAAAGGGAATTACAGTGCTACCACTGTTTTAAGATACAGCTTAATTGCAGTTTGAGCATAGCTTTTCTAGAGATGTTGGCTCCAATGTAAATCCCATTAAGTTTCACTCCAAATAAAGGTTTGCAGATCTATTATGCTACGATTTCATATAGTTGGGGTAGCTTGAGACATGAATGACATTTGTATATAATCTTTGTGGCTTAGAAAATGTGCTTTGTGGCTAGTTCTAGTCTTAGTACTCAACTGCTTTGAGCTTTTCAGCTAGTTCTAGTCTTAGTACTCAACTGCTTTGAAACTCATCAAATTTGGTACTCAGCACATTTTCACAACAATATTTTGTCCCAATACTTGTTTGTTTGGTACTCAACGCTATCCTTTCCAGCCAAAATGAAGTTACACATTAATCACCTGGTAGGTCTTGCCCTGTGTAGATCACCTTGCATTCTTGTGTGGTCATTTTGGGCATTTTTGTGTTTTTATCCTTCATCAGTACAGGTAAAATAAAGTTTTTATTTTATTTAATCTAAGCATCTATTTATTTTTAGGTTCATTTCTCATGCAAAGTAATAATAAACAACCCTATCTGTTTACATATTGCCTTAAAAATGTGCATTGTCTTTGGTTTGGGAATGTGTTACATTTATTCCCATTCTTTAAAACTGTTTGGTACTCGTCATTTTTGATATTCATCGCACTTTCCAGAACCAATTAACAAGCATCGAGGTATTGCTGTATATCCCTTTGCTCCATCTAGTTGTTGCCTGGATTTTTGCTGGCCACATGGGGCAACCGTTTGTGACTTAGCACAATGAGAACATTGAAACAACTGTGATTTTGTCAGCAAAATATAGTTTAATGTATTAAGTGAGCCAAATAATGAGTTTCTATGGCCAGTTTTTCAATCTGTTTTTAATCAGATTTTAAGAATATAATTAAAAACATTGCCTCTAAGCCCACACATATATAGCAGCATATTGTTATTTAAAGAAATGCATTCTGTGCTTACAGAACCAGAATTTGGAAAGGACTTTTGCTCTAAGGTTTCAGATGTTTGATTTCTTAAAATGTGGATAAGACTGCCCATCCACCTTTTGGCAAGTTTATCATAAAGATTATTAGGAGAATTTAGTAATTCAGCATTAAAAAATAATATCCCCTTTGAGTCAAGCTTCAGCTGGCCTCATGAAGTTTTTGGGCAATGGAAGCAAGCAATTTGTCATTCCTTTTCCAATGTAACTTACAGCCCTTCTGGTTGTAAGTTACACTAAGTTAAACTAAATGCTGGTTTCCTCCTTTGTCCAAGCC